CAGTAGTACTCTGAGCATAAAGCAGTAGTACTCTGGACATAAAACAGTAGTACTCTGAACATAAAGCAGTAGTACTCTGAGCATAAAGCAGTTAGTACTCTGGACATAAAGCAGTAGTACTCTGGACATAAAGCAGTAGTACTCTGGACATAAAGCAGTAGTACTCTGAGCATAAAGCAGTAGTACTCTGGACATAAAGCAGTAGTACTCTGAGCATAAAGCAGTAGTACTCTGAGCATAAAGCAGTAGTACTCTGGACATAAAGCAGTAGTACTTTGAGCATAAAGCAGTAGTACTCTGAGCATAAAGCAGTAGTACTCTGAGCATAAAGCAGTAGTACTTTGAGCATAAAGCAGTAGTACTCTGGACATAAAGCAGTAGTACTGTGAGCATAAAGCAGTAGTACTCTGGACATACTCTGAGCATTCCTGAGGTGTTTCCCGCTCTGACGTGGACATACTGTATGTTTGGAAACAGACCGTGTTTTCAGCCTCTCTCCGGTTGCTCTTTGACCTTTCAGTTTTGCCGTTTACTAAACTCTTCTCTCCTGAATCCATCGCTTCATCTTTTCTCATGTTTTCTGTTTCTGCCGTTATGATTATAGACCCATGGTTTCTGCGTGGACTCAGGGACAGGCACTTCCTTCTGTTAAAGACCACCGGGAAAACATTACATTTTCAACAATCAGGAGAAAGAATTCACAATTTCATGGACTTGTACTTTTGTTTCACGTGTCAACAACTCCTCGTACAGCTGTGTTTACAAAATGTCCGCCCAGCTCCGTGTTTACACCATCAACAACAAACTGTGGCGTTCACAACAAGACACGGAATCAGACCCTCGGACATGATTCAGTTCCAATGTGGGACCGATCTATTCTTAGTCCTACCAGGTGCAAAAACAGAATTAAAAATATATTTGTTTATATAACGCTGTTAAAAGACACGATCATGGCATTATTCATTCTCTCCACTTCCTGTGGCTTATTCCAGCTGATGTGGGTAAAGTGTCTTGCCTAAAGACACAGTGACAGTTAAGTAAGTAAGTAATATTTATTTATACACTACATTTAGAACTATTGTACATGTTAGTGGTAGGAGAAACCGGAGCACCCAGAGGAAACCTACGCAGACACATGGAGAACATGCAAACTCCACACAGTGAGACCTGGAGGTGGAATTGAACCCAAAACCTTTGTGCTGAGAAACACAAGCTCAAACTGCTACGCAGGACAGTCTTCCTGAAGATGTGAGACAGGCCTCCTCTCTGACAATGTTTAAACCAGTTCTGTTTATCTGCACACTGTGATTATTGATGTAATGCTTATTTGGTTCAGCACTTTGAATTGCCTTGTGCTATACAAATAAACTTGCCTCACACCACGTGCTGTCGGTTTGTTACCGTACAGGATCTCCCATCAGACTACTGACCAGGCCCTGCCCTGCTTAGCTACAGAGGTCTGACAGTGTCAGGCTTTCACCTGCAGGTGTTTCAACAGTCCTCTTTAATGAATCCATATTTATTTTGACGACTTTAAAACCAACAACAAAAACTCAGAGTTCAGTGATGGGTCTAGAACTGATAAACTCAGACTCATCTAAAGGGAGCAGACTGTCTCACTTTTTCAGGAAGTTGATTGTATTTGATCCTGACTTACTGAGTGTGTCTCAGGACGAGGCGGCTCCTGCGGGCCCCGGGGCCAATCATTGATAAAGACCCATTAAGGAAAGTTTAAAAGGCCATTCTCGTGAGTTAATGTTTATAGATGGACGATGCCAAACAGCTCAATGGAGGCCAATAGGGAAGTGCTCATGAACAGAGTTTTGCTCCTTCTCGCTCTGGCTCCTCTTGACTTTCATTCCTCTCGCTCAGAAGACCCTCGTTCACATGGTCCTGGGCTCAAAGCTCTCCATGGTCCTGGGCTCAAAGCTCTCCATGGTCCTGGGGTTTGTGTTTGTGTAATCCAGTTAGAGCCATATAAGGCTTGGTACATTCGTACACACTGGGAGCAGTGGTTAGTGCTTGAACCTCACAGCCAGAAGGTTTGCATGTTCTCCCTGTGTCTGTGTAGGTTTCCTCCGGGTGCTCCAGTGTTCCCTACCACTAAAACATGTAGAACAGGTCTGGTATGTGCCTCATGTTCACAGCTGACTCTGGAGCGAGAGACAAAACACCACAACAACTGTCAAACATTTGTGACTCTGGTATTGTGCTAAATAAATAAACATGACTTTCTCTGTGGCCCCCGTGGACCTCACTGAGGCCTCTCTGTGTGGCCCCCGTGGACCTCACTGAGGCCTCTCTCTGTGGCCCCCGTGGACCTCACTGAGGCCTCTCTCTGTGGCCCCCGTGGACCTCACTGAGGCCTCTCTGTGTGGCCTCCGTGGACCTCACTGAGGCCTCTTTCTGTGGCCCCCGTGGACCTCACTGAGGCCTCTCTGTGTGGCCCCCGTGGACCTCACTGAGGCCTCTCTCTGTGGGCCCCGTGGACCTCACTGAGGCCTCTCTCTGTGGCCCCCGTGGACCTCACTGAGGCCTCTCTGTGGGCCCCGTGGGACCTCACTGAGGCCTCTCTCTGTGGCCCCCGTGGACCTCACTGAGGCCTCTCTCTGTGGCCCCCGTGGACCTCACTGAGGCCTTTCTCTGTGGCCCCCGTGGACCTCACTGAGGCCTCTCTCTGTGGCCCCCGTGGACCTCACTGAGGCCTCTCTCTGTGGCCCCCATGGACCTCACTGAGGCCTCTCTGTGGGCCCCGTGGACCTCACTGAGGCCTCTCTCTGTGGGCCCTGTGGACCTCACTGAGGCCTCTCTGTGGGCCCTGTGGACCTCACTGAGGCCTCTCTCTGTGGGCCCTGTGGACCTCACTGAGGCCTCTCTGTGGCCCCTGTGGACCTCACTGAGGCCTCTCTGTGGCTCCTGTGGACCTCACTGAGGCCTCTCTCTGTGGGTCCTGTGGACCTCACTGAGGCCTCTCTCTGTGGCCCCCGTGGACCTCACTGAGGCCTCTCTGTGGGCCCCGTGGACCTCACTGAGGCCTCTCTCTGTGGCCCCCGTGGACCTCACTGAGGCCTCTCTCTGTGGCCCCCGTGGACCTCACTGAGGCCTCTCTCTGTGGCCCCCATGGACCTCACTGAGGCCTCTCTGTGGGCCCCGTGGACCTCACTGAGGCCTCTCTCTGTGGGCCCTGTGGACCTCACTGAGGCCTCTCTGTGGGCCCTGTGGACCTCACTGAGGCCTCTCTCTGTGGGCCCTGTGGACCTCACTGAGGCCTCTCTGTGGCCCCTGTGGACCTCACTGAGGCCTCTCTGTGGCTCCTGTGGACCTCACTGAGGCCTCTCTCTGTGGGTCCTGTGGACCTCACTGAGGCCTCTCTCTGTGGGCCCTGTGGACCTCACTGAGGCCTCTCTGTGGCCCCTGTGGACCTCACTGAGGCCTCTCTCTGTGGGCCCTGTGGACCTCACTGAGGCCTCTCTGTGGCCCCTGTGGACCTCACTGAGGCCTCTCTGTGGCTCCTGTGGACCTCACTGAGGCCTCTCTCTGTGGCCCCTGTGGACCTCACTGAGGCCTCTCTGTGGCCCCTGTGGACCTCACTGAGGCCTCTCTCTGTGGCCCCTGTGGACCTCACTGAGGCCTCTCTGTGGCCCCTGTGTTCAGTCACTACACTTCTTAACAGGTGCAAAAATAACATTGAAAGAAAAGACGAATCCAGACCAGGCTGAGCCGACGGGGACCTGCAGGTGAAGGTCAGATCCTGATAGACCTCTGCAGCTAAGCAGGGCTGGGCTTGGGTAGTTTTGTGATGGGAGACCTCTCAGAACAACAGGTGCCACAGTGGGAAGGCTGCGATTGTAAAATATCAAACTGTGGTTGTGTCCTTAGGCAAGACACTTCCCCCACAATAGAATGAGTCTGGTGTGTGTGTGTGTGTGTGTGTGTGTGTGAATGGTTGGTGGTGGTGGGAGGTTGCCTTGCCTCTGTCAGTGTGCCCCAGGGCAGCTGTGGCTACAGTAGTAGTATTGAGTGAAGGAATAATGCTATGAATTGTCCAAAAAAGAACCACATAAAACTAATGCTCTATTATTATTATTATTATTATGGTAAACACAAAATACAGCAGCGGGTGGAAGGAGAAAGAGAAAAAGTACATTTTAAATACACAATAAAGACATGGATGAAACCATGGTCCAAAGGAATGCAGCAGAGAGAATCGATGCAGGCGCAGAGTGAGATATCGTGTTTCTGTGAAATGAACCCTGCCAGGCCACCGTACTCTGCCGCTGCCCTGTCCCCGTTCGAAAGAATTGTAAAGAGTTGCGAAAAAACTGGTTACAGATTAATCCCTTTGTGCCTAACTCTCTAAGGGACAAAGTTTACGGCGCTGCACCACAATCATTCATGCGCCGGTTAATATTTGAGCCTAATAGATCAAAGCATTCCGACGCTCTCTGTTATTTTTATTTTATAACCCGCTCATTTGCATATGAGGAGTAAGTGTCCTGATGAAAGCACAATAATGCATCGGAATGGGATGAATTCTTCCTTATTTATGAACAGAAATCTATGGTTGTAAACATTTAAAGCTGGGGTACCTAACTTTCAGATATTTTTTGCATGTGTGTGTTTTTTGATCACCTTTGCTCAGTTAGGAGCTCCCAGCTCGAAGCATAAAAATATGTATATATATATATTATTATTTTTTACAGGTTTGCAAAAGTCACCCTGTTTCTTGACTTTCTGACGGGACAAACAGAACCTGTATTTGTTTTTAAAAGCTGAATAAAAAACAATATTGTTGATTTTTGACTAAAGTAATCCAGTCCATAAACACAAGCTTTCTCAGTGTTTAATGTATTTATTAAGTGTTATATTTTACAAAAGATCCCACCCCTAACAGAAAGAAAACAACATTAGTATATCTGCTGTCAGTGAGGACGGACAGAACAGGATCAAAACTACTGTATAAATGTCTTCATAACAAAACAAATGTAAAAGGACGGGCTCTAACTGTAGACGGACGTCCGGAGCAGCAGAGATAGCATCAGCCTGTTGCATGTTCTGCCTGTGGCTCTGCCCTCCTGCGTGGTCGCAAATGAGCTCTTGTTGACAGGTAACAGTCCCAGGGGCGGGACACAGGAGCGGAGGCCTTTGTGTCCTTCAGCCTAAGGTGAGTAAAGGACGATCCACCCCCCCTCACCCACTCTCACCACCCTCAACCCCCCCTCACCACCCTCACCACCCTCACCACCCTCACCCCCCCCTCACCCCCCCTCATCCTCACCACCCGCTCAAACAACACTCTCTGTCGTCACTCCAGACACTGCTGTGACGCAACAGCGGTGAGGGGAGGGGTCCCACAGGGCGCCATCTTAGGACGACAGTATTGTCATCACAAGAATGTTATTTTTGACTCATGCGGTGACATCAGTTCAAGACTTTAGACTTTTACGCCAGTGCAGTGGAATAAAACAGATCTGGACAGGGTCGTTGTGTTCAGAGACAGGAGGCTGTGAGGACAGATCCAGGACTCCTGACATTCTTCTATGGACATTTATGAACATTGGTCTCTGCTCCTTATGGGCCACTCTGTGTTTTAATCTCTGCATTTACTGTGTTTGGACTCCAACTGTTTGATTCTCTGATCAGTGTTGGAGAATTTGACGATTCTCGAGAATGAATTGAATTGAATAAATCTGCTCTTCTTCTGTATTTACTCGTTAGGATCCAGGATCCAGGAGGCAGGAGGCAGAGGCAGGAGGCAGGAGGCAGAGGCAAGAGGCAGAGGCAGGAGGCAGGAGGCAGAGGCAGAGGCAGGAGGCAGGAGGCAGGAGGCAGAAGGCAGAGGCAGGAGGCAGAGGCAAGAGGCAGGAGGCAGAGGCAGGAGGCAGAGGCAGGAGGCAGAGACAGGAGGCAGGAGGCAGAGGCAGAGGCAGGAGGCAGAGGCAGGAGGCAGAGACAGGAGGCAGAGGCAGAGGCAGAGGCAGAGACAGAGACAGAGACAGAGGCAGAGACAGAGACAGAGGCAGAGACAGAGGCAGAGGCAGAGACAGAGACAGAGACAGAGACAGAGGCAGAGACAGAGCAGAGGCAGAGGCAGAGACAGAGACAGAGACAGAGACAGAGGCAGAGACAGAGGCAGGAGGCAGAGGCAGGAGGCAGAGGCAGGAGGCAGGAGGCAGAGGCAGAGGCAGAGGCAGGAGGCAGAGGCAAGAGGCAGAGGCAGAGGCAGAGGCAGGAGGCAGAGCAGAGGCAGGAGGCAGAGACAGGAGGCAGGAGGCAGAGGCAGAGACAGGAGGCAGGAGGCAGAGGCAGGAGGCAGAGGCAGGAGGCAGGAGGCAGAGGCAGAGGCAGAGGCAGGAGGCAGAGGCAAGAGGCAAGAGGCAGGAGGCAGAGGCAGGAGGCAGAGGCAGAGGCAGGAGGCAGAGACAGGAGGCAGAGGCAGAGGCAGGAGGCAGAGGCAGGAGGCAGGAGGCAGAGACAGGAGGCAGGAGGCAGATGGACAGTTAGTGTGTACAGTAACCACAGCCGTGTGTAGACATGGACCACCGCTAACGTCAACACTAGCAAGGACACTGGAGACGCTCTGCCCTTCACCACCACCACTGCTACTGCTACTGCTACTGCTACTGCTACTATTACTACTGCTGCTACTGCTGTTATGAATTATCACATTTTATCACAACTCAATTCCTTTCATGTTTGTCCAGGATCAAAACTACTGTATAAATGTCTTCATAACAAAACAAATGTAAAAGGACGGGCTCTAACTGTAGACGGACGTCCGGAGCAGCAGAGATAGCATCAGCCTGTTGCATGTTCTGCCTGTGGCTCTGCCCTCCTGCGTGGTCGCAAATGAGCTCTTGTTGACAGGTAACAGTCCCAGGGGCGGGACACAGGAGCGGAGGCCTTTGTGTCCTTCAGCCTAAGGTGAGTAAAGGACGATCCACCCCCCCTCACCCCCCCTCACCACTCTCACCCCCCCTCACCCCCCCTCACCACCCTCACCCCCCCTCATCACCCTCACCCCCCCCTCACCACCCTCATCCTCACCACCCGCTCAAACAACACTCTCTGTCGTCACTCCAGACACTGCTGTGACGCAACAGCGGTGAGGGGAGGGGTCCCACAGGGCGCCATCTTAGGACGACAGTATTGTCATCACAAGAATGTTATTTTTGACTCATGCGGTGACATCAGTTCAAGACTTTAGACTTTTACGCCAGTGCAGTGGAATAAAACAGATCTGGACAGGTTCGTTGTGTTCAGAGACAGGAGGCTGTGAGGACAGATCCAGGACTCCTGACATTCTTCTATGGACATTTATGAACATTGGTCTCTGCTCCTTATGGACCACTCTGTGTTTTAATCTCTGCATTTACTGTGTTTGGACTCCAACTGTTTGATTCTCTGATCAGTGTTGGAGAATTTGACGATTCTCAAGAATGAATTGAATTGAATAAATCTGCTCTTCTGTATTTACTCGTTAGGATCCAGGATTCAGAGGCAGGAGGCAGGAGGCAGAGGCAGGAGGCAGAGGCAGAGGCAGGAGGCAGGAGGCAGGAGGCAGGAGGCAGAGGCAGGAGGCAGGAGGCAGAGGCAGGAGGCAGAGGCAGAGGCAGGAGGCAGAGGCAGGAGGCAGGAGGCAGAGGCAGGAGGCAGAGGCAGGAGGCAGGAGGCAGAGGCAGGAGGCAGGAGGCAGAGGCAGGAGGCAGGAGGCAGGAGGCAGGAGGCAGAGGCAGGAGGCAGGAGGCAGAGGCAGGAGGCAGAGGCAGGAGGCAGGAGGCAGAGGCAGGAGGCAGAGGCAGGAGGCAGGAGGCAGAGGCAGGAGACAGAGGCAGAGGCAGGAGGCAGGAGGCAGAGGCAGGAGACAGAGGCAGAGGCAGGAGGCAGAGGCAGGAGGCAGAGGCAGGAGGCAGAGGCAGGAGGCAGGAGGCAGAGGCAGAGGCAGCAGGAGGCAGAGGCAGGAGGCAGAGGCAGGAGGCAGGAGGCAGGAGGCAGGAGGCAGAGGCAGAGGCAGGAGGCAGAGGCAGGAGGCAGGAGGCAGGAGGCAGGAGGCAGAGGCAGAGGCAGAGGCAGGAGGCAGAGGCAAGAGGCAGAGGCAGGAGGCAGAGGCAGGAGGCAGAGGCAAGAGGCAGAGGCAGGAGGCAGGAGGCAGGAGGCAGAGGCAGGAGGCAGGAGGCAGGAGGCAGAGGCAGGAGGCAGGAGGCAGGAGGCAGGAGGCAGAGGCAGGAGGCAGAGGCAGGAGGCAGGAGGCAGGAGGCAGAGGCAGGAGGCAGGAGGCAGGAGGCAGGAGGCAGGAGGCAGGAGGCAGGAGGCAGGAGGCAGAGGCAGGAGGCAGGAGGCAGAGGCAGGAGGCAGAGGCAGGAGGCAGAGGCAGAGGAGGCAGGAGGCAGGAGGCAGAGGCAGGAGGCAGGGAGAGGCAGGAGGAGGCAGAGGCAGGAGGCAGGAGGCAGGAGGCAGAGGCAGGAGGCAGGAGGCAGGAGGCAGGAGGCAGGAGGCAGGAGGCAGGAGGCAGGAGGCAGAGGCAGAGGCAGGAGGCAGCAGAGGCAGAGGCAGAGGCAGGAGGCAGAGGCAGGAGGCAGAGGCAGGAGGCAGGAGGCAGGAGGCAGAGGCAGCGGCAGAGGCCAGAGGCAGGAGGCAGGAGGCAGGAGGCAGGAGGAGGCAGAGGCAGGAGGCAGGAGGCAGAGGCAGGAGGCAGGAGGCAGGAGGCAGAGGCAGGAGGCAGGAGGCAGGAGGCAGGAGGCAGGAGGCAGAGGCAGGAGGCAGGAGGCAGAGGCAGGAGGCAGGAGGCAGAGGCAGGAGGCAGGAGGCAGGAGGCAGGAGGCAGGAGGCAGAGGCAGGAGGCAGAGGCAGAGGCAGAGGCAGAGGCAGGAGGCAGGAGGCAGGAGGCAGGAGGCAGAGGCAGGAGGCAGAGGCAGGAGGCAGAGGCAGAGGCAGGAGGCAGAGGCAGGAGGCAGGAGGCAGGAGGCAGGAGGCAGAGGCAGAGGCAGAGGCAGAGGCAGAGGCAGGAGGCAGGAGGCAGGAGGCAGGAGGCAGGAGGCAGAGGCAGGAGGCAGAGGCAGGAGGCAGGAGGCAGAGACAGGAGGCAGGAGGCAGGAGGCAGGAGGCAGGAGGCAGGAGGCAGAGGCAGGAGGCAGGAGGCAGAGACAGGAGGCAGGAGGCAGGAGGCAGGAGGCAGAGGCAGGAGGCAGGAGGCAGGAGGCAGAGGCAGGAGGCAGAGGCAGAAGGCAGAGGCAGGAGGCAGAGGCAGGAGGCAGAGGCAGGAGGCAGGAGGCAGGAGGCAGGAGGCAGAGGCAGGAGGCAGAGGCAGAAGGCAGAGGCAGGAGGCAGAGGCAGGAGGCAGGAGGCAGAGGCAGAGGCAAGAGGCAGAGGCAGAGACAGAGGCAGAGACAGGAGGCAGAGGCAGAGGGAGGCAGGAGGCAGAGGCAGGAGGCAGAGGCAGAGGCAGGAGGCAGGCAGGCAGAGGCAGGAGGCAGAGGCAGAGGCAGGAGGCAGAGGCAGAGGCAAGAGGCAGGAGGCAGGAGGCAGAGGCAGGAGGCAGGAGGCAGAGGCAGGAGGCAGAGGCAGAAGGCAGAGGCAGGAGGCAGGAGGCAGGAGGCAGAGACAGGAGGCAGAGGCAGGAGGCAGGAGGCAGAGGCAGAGGCAAGAGGCAGAGGCAGAGGCAGGCAGAGGCAGAGGCAGAGGCAGAGGCAGGAGGCAGAGGCAGAGGCAGGAGGCAGAGGCAGATGGACAGTTAGTGTGTACAGTAACCACAGCCGTGTGTAGACATGGACCACCGCTAACGTCAACACTAGCAAGGACACTGGAGACGCTCTGCCCTTCACCACCACCACTGCTACTGCTACTGCTACTGCTACTGCTACTATTACTACTGCTGCTACTGCTGTTATGAATTATCACATTTTATCACAACTCAATTCCTTTCATGTTTGTCCAGCCCTAAACCACAGCAGCAGAATCATTCAATAATAACACACACAGAGGAGCCATTGGTCCAGAGGGATTGTCCATAAATGTCTCTGTGCTTAGACCCTCCACACAAAAAAGAAGAAAAATTATCATGACATTTAGCGTTCCACATTTTCACATTTAGGGTGATATGGTGAGGACAGCCACTAAACTTGATGTTAAAACAAATGTATAGGATTGCAGAAGTACTGGCTGAGAAATCTAACATCTAACATGCATTTTAATATAAGACATTATTATTATAAGTGAGAACAAAACAGCTCCACTTCAGCATTCCTCTCAACCAAAAAGAACATCGTGTTGACT